GTACTGCAAACACAGAATAGAATCACTTTACTTCATTTAGCACTTAAATGTCATATCATTTTTGGAGGGAAAGAGTCTCTGCAGTTTCTTTTGGACTAGAAGTTATTGCATCTCTGAGATTATCTAGCTCCACCCAAATTCATTACTTCATCCACAAATTTCTGCAAAGATAAAACAAAAACATCTAAGATCACAAATGATTGGGAGAAGAAAAGAGAAAATATGTCGGGTACTTACCATTTTTTCGTCATTGTTTACTTCTCTAGGTAGTCGAAGGAAAGCCGAGTAAATAACAGATTCTCTGGCAGTAACTTGAGGCGAATGGATATCGGTTTGTTCACAGTAACCAGAAATTCTCGCAAAGGTTTGTTGATTCTTGGGGAAGCCAGAGATTCTAACATCTCCTTGAATGTAACCGCATGTCTTTCTTCCAGCTAAAACATCCATCAATGTTGTCTTTCCAGCTCCACTAACTCCCATTAAAGCAGTTAAAACTCCAGGCCTAAATGCACCAGTTGCTTCTCTAAGCAATTGTAGCCTATTATCTGTTATCCTTGCTCTTTCATTTCCTGTTCAAAGTTACATTTGAAGATAAATATTGTAAAGGAGTGTGAGTAAAGTCTATAAGGATTGAGGATGATGATGATCTTACTGCTGGCATGTCGACAAAGTAATTAACACTATCAAAAGACATGGCAAGTGGTTGAAAAGGAAGAACCATTCCTCTCTTTGGTGCAACTCCAATGGCTGACTCGAGTGTTGAACTCACATTACCTCTACTACCCATTCTCTGCATTGCCACTTCTCCTGAAAATGTAAATACAATCTTCATTAGCCTAATGTGCCTATGTCTTCAACTGTAATGCGGCTGAAATACCTTTCTATTATTAAAGCTTAAGGTTTAAATACCCGCTCCGCTCTAGCAACCTACCTACTTATTAGTAAACTACGAGCTATACCCGAGAAACAAAAGTACAATTCTAGCTAAGCATTTACAGTAAGGACTATAGTTGAAGATGTTTACTTGTGTCATTCCCTTTGTTGGACTCCTGTCTTCCAAGTCTCGGTTCCTCCTTCGAATCTCCTCCGATTTCCATTTTACTTGCTTCTTCTTCTGATATAATTGCTTGTTTCTTTCCAATAGCTAGTGAATCAAATAAAAAACAAAGCGAATCAAAAGCTTTTCTTGACACTTAAGTAATATAAACATTTTGTAGAGAATGCGAGCTCTTACGGTTAAGGTACATAAGTGAAAGGGTGAACAAAACATTATATAAAATAGTGAAACCAATAAGAACTCCAACACCTATCCAGTACCAATTTTCATTACTATAAACATCAAAGATATTCAATGTGGCTACACCCAATGATGTTGATCCATTTGAAGACTGCAAAACATGAAAACTTCGAGTCAGAACTATAATTTTGGATTAAATATGTTTATAGTTCTTTAAAATACGAAAGTACTCACCGGTTTGCTCCACCTTGGAGAAAACATTTCGTTAACCGATAAAGCATTGAAAGCATATGACAATGGAGAAAGCCAATAGCCCCAGACCCACCAATTTGGAATGTCACCTGTTAACATTAAGGCTTAACCATATTAATGACCATAACAAATTACATAAGATTAGTGCCTTAATTAGAGTTTGATTAATGATTAGTGACTCACGTTTAGGAAGAATGAAACCTCCAAGTAGGAAAACAAGAAGAAGCATGAGAGATCCACCAGTGTTGGCTATGATCATTGTCCTACAAACTCCTGATATTACCCTAAACAACCTAGCTACCATTTGTTGAATAAGAAACACCAGCAACAAATGCTTGAAGAACCTACAATGTTTTATTAGTATTACAGATACATCACTTAATACTAATATCATCTATCTAATCTTTGCTATACAAAACGCTTATAAATTTTACTGAGATTCAAACCTTAAAGTGACAGCAGCAGCAGCGAGTTTGTGAGTAAAGTGGCGATGGCGGTAGCGAGACTAAGCGAAGTCGTGATGGTGACAACAAGACTGAACCATTTATTTGTCATAACAAAAATCAATTCAATAACTCAATAAACACATAAGCATCAAATTGATTTAGAGAATCAAATTGATGATAAAATCACATTTAAATGATGACAATAGTAACAAAGTTCAGTGAACAATTGTTTTTAACACTGAGATTTTCTTAATTTTAACACTGAGATGACAGTAATAACTTGTAGTAACATTTTCTCTAATACAACCAAGTTAATGACATACATGTGGCTTGAGACTATAAGGTACAATTTGAACACAACTGAGTCGAAACAACAACGAATAAATAAAACTACAAAATAAGTACCTAAACCATGCATTTTAATTGATATTCACATCACCAATTGCAGCTGCATAGTTGTTGATGGGTAGTATCCAAAAAGATTCCAGAATCTTGATTATGGTGTGCTTTGAAATCCTATGGCAAGAGCAACTCACCATCTCTCCATCTCCTTGCTCCTGCACACAAATGAATACAGTGATAACATCCCACAAACAAAACCCTAAAATAGATCCTAGTTGAACAAAAGCCACCACCATTTCACTAGTTGAACAAATAAACTCAAAATATGGATGAGCTTATCCTGAAGCTTAGAATCACCATTTGCAAACTTAATCTTAGATTCACTGGGTCCGGAAACACGGTTCACATCATCCTTTGTAAAAATAGATGGTGGCATCTTACAAACAATCATGGCATTCAGAAAAAGCCTGGAACAAAGAGGAACAAAAGCCATGGATTTTAAATGCATATCAGAGCTATTCAACTCTAACAGGGCTGCAAATTCAGTATCACTTTCATCTGCAGCCATAAGATCATAAAGCCCTTGACAGTCTCGAAAACATACATCACGAATTTTGACTTACCTGAATTTGAAGTTGTCGCTACTGCGAAAATCGGCGCCGGCTGACAGAAGGGTGCAGTACCAAAATCACCATTGTTTAACGCTTAACAAAGCTGAAGGAGCTTATCCGAAGCATTTTTGGAGATGTCCACACTGCTCAACTTAGCAAATAACCCACCAAGTCTCTTTGAGTTGTCTTCTATTTCCCGCCTCTTTGCTGGGTTTGCACGTGAACCTCCGAGTGCTTCTGATGTCTTATTGAAAAGTCTTGTCAATGTTGTTACAATAGGCATTTGGTGTGCTGAAATAGTAAAAGCAAGAGTTAAAACCAAAATAGAATAAGACAAGGAACACGTGATAAGTGAAATACATATCATTGTTCAAGACAAATGCTTTCTGACTCATAAAATAAACATCAGTACATTTAGCTAGTATTTTCATTCAAAGAAAAATCCAAAGTCGCTGAAAAATTAAAGAAATATTACCAGGTACTTTTGAAGTATCAGCAGTCTACACAGTAGGTGGTGTAGGTGGTGGAGCTGCCGGTGCAGCAGCAGGTTGCATAGATTGTGGTTGCGAGGGACTGGGAGGCTGAATTGATCCCACACCAGGTCTTTGAATGCCAGCAGGACTGAGGATTGGCATGAACCCCATTGGATTCGAGGTAGGTGCCAAAACTTGTGGTGGTCATCATCAATTGGCCGCACGTTTGAACATTCTGCTTCTTCAATTTTTCCTGTAAAACATGACCCACTCCTGGAAGTGCATTAATTGGCAGTTGACGTAAATGATCTTCAACCTGGAAAAGTTAACTATATAAGAGGGCAAGGCAAAAATATTGACATATTCCACACCAACTATTATATCAAATTCTATCAGACAGAAAACATGTAATATATATTCGTTTTCGGCTAGTTCCTTCTACATGTAATATATATTCGTTTTCGGCTAGTTCCACACCAGTTGGAATTGCCTGTTTCTGCAAATGTCTTATGCACCTATGGAATCATGAATTTGAAAATAACGGATAGTAAGCTTGTTGGCCTCAACCTGAAGTTATGTTAATGTATTAATTTTTTTAATTCAAGATAATTATCTGCTATCAGATCAAAGCATTACTTGCTCATCTCTTTCAAGAACATGTCATATGCTGGAAAATGCAGTCAAAATTGTATGCCTCATACCTGATCTCTTATGTCCATCTTGTCAAACTCATCAATGCAGCAAATACCATTGTCAGCAAGCATCAAAACACCAACCTGAAAAATAGGTCTTACATTAGAAAACAAGACATGTTTCTTAATACCCACTCCTTTGGAAATTGTTTATAACTCAGAAAACTCCTCAAGTCATGTTTCATAAATAGTTTTAATGCTACGCTTATAGGGGTTTCTAGATGAAAAATTCTAATTACAACATGCAAATATTTCATAATATTCATTTATCAAATAACTAATTTCCAGCAAGTACTTTCAACCTAAACCAGCTATAATCATATTATTGTACTTTGTCAAGTAATTGGGACAAACAGTAGCATTAGTTTAATCTAATTTAAACTAGGATATGGTATGTGCCAATTTAAAACCACTCTGCGAGGAGACAGTTTATGGTTGGACTATTGAGTTGATAAAGTAAGAAAAGTTAAAATTTCAGTAAAATTTGAACATTTCAAGCAAATAAGTGGCTAGAAAAGGCTTACGTGTCACCGGCCCTTGCATGTTCCACAATCTCATGACGGAGAATAACATCCAATGACCTAGGCAAAGAGCCCGCGAGTATCTCTTTGGAAGTCTCCTGCATTCTGACTCTTTGCCAATCTATGGTTCATTCTAAATCTCCTCAACATTCATTCTTAGCATGGATGAAACTGATATAAGCAGTAACAAAATCTCCTCAATGACCTAGGCAATTATCTATGGTTCATTCTAAGTCTCCTCAACATTCATTCTTAGCATGGATGAAACTGATATAAGCAGTAACAAAATCATAGACAAAATAGGAGATAAGCAATGCCATGGTGAAGAACATATTGAAAATATGCCTTATGGTATATTGAACCTTTTATATACAAACTATTACATTCAGATAAGTATATTGAATTAAAAGGTTTTCTGGTGGAAGTTTACATGGGAAATGCAAAGGACCGCGTGCTGGTAGTGCTACTGTCGGATCGAATAGAGATGCTTCTAGAATAAGGTATAGACCCTGAGTAACTTATACGACCTGATACTGCGCCTGCGTAGAAAAACTTGACTCGCCTAAGTCACTTCGAATCTGACTTGTTTCAGCAAGTTGAATTTCAGAAAAATCACCAGACGAACCTTCAATGGTAGTAAGAGGAAGTTGAGTTTCATCACAGTTACAACCACCAAATTGGTGAAGTTCCTTTTTGACATAGACCGCAGGAGCTGATGGCCCAAACTGATAATCACTTTCCAATTCATCAACGGTTAATCCTAAAGCGGGACTTGCCAATACTTCTTCCTCAATCATATTGCTTGAGTCTTTCAACTGGGAGTGCGAATTATGTTCAACGGAAAGCTGCAGAACAATGCATAAACATCACTGCTATTTCCCAATTCCCATCACATTTATGCATGCACTACAACACACAAAAACAGATGACAAATTTCCAAATGAAGACATGACAATTTAGGGAAACAATATTTTCTCCTTAGTTGAAAGTTTTAAAATATTCGTTATATACAAATAGATATTTTTCTTAAGCATTGAAATCTTCAGCAATTGATTGATTATTTCAAAAAAGCATTGGAGTATGTTTCCAAAGAAAGTACCTGTTCATCCTTGCCACCAGTAGGTATAGAATCTTGTGTGTCTTCACGTGAATCCATCGCTTTGGTGAAGTTATCAACAAGTTCTTCAATCTCACTGTCATCTTTATGAATCACATCATTGTGCTGATCATGATTAGAAGATGCCTCGTCAGAATCATCAGTTTCTGGTTGATTTAACACCTTCATACCAGTGTTATCTTTTGGATTTCGGTTATACTCAAAATTCTCCAATGGGAAGAAATTATAAGCGGCTCCATCAACACTTTCGTTAAACATGAATTTATGCTTAGAATAAGCCCCTTTATCAACGCATATATCCTTCACAACATGGTAACTATTCTCTTTGTAACAAACCTCCATTTCTGGTTCACATTCAGCAACAGTTCAGTCCACAAAGACATCTACTGGATTCTGAAATTTATCGACTTGCTGAGGATTGGAGATTGGCGCATCGACGGACTTTTTAACTGATTCTTTATCATTTGCAAAAATCATAAATGATCCAATATCCTTTGAAGAATGAGATACAGGCTCATGTGAGTCGATTACCTGTGTTTCGTAACCCTTTTTCAAATCAACAATGTTGTCGTTTGAATCAAAATCCTGTTTGTTCTTCTTCACATTCTTTGAGTCTCTATTGTCATATTCCTTTGCCTTCTGATTCCGTGATTTGAAGATAGGTGAGTTTTGATCACTATCATTACCTCTTACACCGACAACACCTCTATGTCCTAACAGATGAGTCGTCTTCTCATCAGACTCAACTTTCGCCTTCATAGCAGAACATGTAATCCGCTTGAAACACCTTTCCCGCACCTTACTGGACTCAACTTCCGCTTTCATAGCCGATCTAGTAATCCGTTTAAACAAAGGCCGTTTCTGCAACCTCTCGAAACTCACTCTTCAAACCATCACCAGACTCGCCATCGTCCCTACTTACCATTATACGAATTAAAACTGTTGTGGGTACATTCATGAAGGGGTTTTGTGACAAAATTTGAGACAAAGAGAAAATCGAGAAATTGAAAGATGGATTTAGAGGTTAAATTGGAAAAGAATCACTAAAAAAAATTGAAGGTCAAATTGAAGACGGTTGAATTTAGGGTTTTAAGATTTTTAGGGGATCGTTTGCGAGAAGAAGAACAAGAAGGTGGGGTTACACAACTTTTTTTCAATATTTTTTCAAAGTTTAAACATATTTTTAATCTTTAATTTATAATTTGTAATGTATTTATAATCTCCATAAAAGATTTATATATATAGATTTATATATATATATATATATATATATATATATATATATATATATATATATATATATATATATATATATATATATATATATATATATATATATATATATATATATATATATATATATATATATATATATATATATATATATATTTTGATATTGTTACCAAAATTAATTTTAATAAAAATTAATTATTTATATAATAAAATAGAAAATATTTTATTATTATTTTAGATAAAAATATTAAGCTACATTGTTAATTATAATAATTATTTATTAAATTAATTAATAAAATTAAAAAGGTTAGAAAATAAAAATGAAAGAAAAAAGTGGAAAGTTAAAGGAATAAAAAAATAGTGATTATGATTTGCTAAAGTAATTGCGACAGTTCGCCTTAACTGTCGCGAGTATGAAAAGAGGGCGGTTCTTTGGTAACTGTCGCATTATTATATACAACATGTCTAAAAAATTTGCGACGGTTGGCTCAAACCGTCGTGAGAACTGTCGTGGTCCAGAAATAAGGACGGTTTTTTTATAACTGTCGCAAAAAATCTACGACAGTTGACCCTAACTGTCGTGACAACCGTCGAAATCTAGGAATAAGGACGGTTTTGTGATAACTGTCACAACTCAAGTGTCGTAAATCTCCTTTTTTTCTTGTAGTGATTGGTGTATGCATGTCATGATGCATGTTTATGTGCTCAGGGGGAGCATGGTAGGGATAGATCGTTGCTCGGATGGATGCGATCTATCCTGAGTTTGATTATAATGTGCTCCTGCATGGAGGGTTGATGGCCAGGTGCCCATCGTTTGCGCTCGAGGGAGCGTGGTAGGGATATATCATTGCTCGGTGGAGTGTATGCGATATATCTTGAGCTTGATTGTTTGTGCTCCTTGGTGGAGGGTTGATGGCCAGGTGTTCATCGGTGTTGTTGAGTCGGTACCGCATATCATGGGTTGAGTTTCATGTGTTTACATTGTTGTATATGTTGTGTTGGCGTGGGACAGTAGGTCCGGGTTGATGTGTGTGAATTGATGATTGTGTGTTACTGCCTTTTATTCATGTACGTATTTACCGTTATATTTTGATCGTGATTTCTCACCCCTTGCTTTTGTTGTGTTATGTGCTTCTTCGGAAGTACATATAACCCAAGTGTGTAGCTAGCTTGGATTGTGGTGAGTCGAGTCGTAGGGATGCTCTGATACGTAACCCCGGGGCTTTTTGAGAGTTTACTATTTATTTGATGATTTTGTGTGCCCCTGTGGCGTATCATGTTCTGTTGGACCCGTTGTGATGGATGTATCTTGTATATTTTGGGCGTTGGCCGTACATGATGAATATGACGTTTATGTATATGATGTGAATATATATATATATATATATATATATATATATATATATATATATATATATATATATATATATATATATATATATATATATATATATATATATATATATATATATATATATATATATATATATATATATATATATATATATATATATATATATATATATATATATATATATATATATATATATATATATTTCCGCTGTTTAATTATTGAAAATTCGTTAATGAAGATGTTTTATTGATGTTTATTTCTGTGGCATCCCGTTGTGTGTGTAGCAACTCTGATATTCGTTTACTTTAATTGCATCTATTTGTATTTTGGGGAACGGGGTGTTACATATGGCCTTCATAAAACATCATTCCTAGTTTCAAGGAATTCAAAAGTCTTACATTAAAACCTTTCCCAACTTTCCTAAAAAAGGGAATATTTTCAATCGACCGTTGAAGTTCTTGAAACTATTACATTGCATTAGCATCATATTTTTGCATTGCCTTCTCTACCCGGTTTCTCATGTCCAGTTGTCTTTATCTTCCAGTGTCCCTTTGAGTCGTTAAGCTTGTTCCTCGACACAGATATCAGACTAGAGCTAACTATAGACTCCTGATGTCAGAGCAAGAGGAACATAATGCGGAAGTCCGAATGGAGATCAATGAGTTGAAAGCAGACATGACCAGGGTTACCGAGATGCTTCAAGTACTGATTTCCAGAGGAGAGCCACCTCAGAGGACCGTCATTCAGGAAGTTTCAAGTGCTGATCCATCTCCGGTTTCACTGCCGCCCTCTACTTGGTCGGAGTTTGGTTTACCTCCTAACTACTTTCTACCTCTTGCATCTACTGTTATGATTGGTCAGACTGTCAGACCAGTTTTTCAAGCTCCCAGACCTGTGGTCCATACTGTTAACAAGACTGTCTGAGCTCCCTTTGAGAATCCTCTCTATGACTAAATGCCGTCAGGGCATCAAAAGGGAAGCTTCAGTCTGACTTCAGCATACTATCTTCTTAAACGCCAGTGTTTCAGACAGGATAACTCACCTTTATACTGATTTAGTCATTAGGCCTTTTGTTTCTTGTTGTTTGTACTTTCCTTATTTTTATATTATCTGTTTGCTTTTAAAATTACGTTTGTACTTTTACATTAATGAACTGAGCATTGCAACTTTCGATTTCAATTCAGTTTGTATACTATTTGCATCTTTTATACTTTATCTTTCAAATATTTACTTCTTGTCCAAATTTTTGATATGCAAAGATTGGAGGGAGGATGATGAAAATGTTATACCCATAATTTTTGTCATTATGCTTTAATCAAACTTTGTTGACGATGTAAGGTATTGTTTCAACTCCCAAACACTGGAGAAATAAGGAAGTTATTCCCTTGTCACCCCTTTCGAGCCTAGAAGTTGGAGTTTCTTTCTTTACAAAAAACATGCAATCTTAAGCTGGGGAATGGGTAGTTCTCAGTTAACTTGGTTGTGTGTTCCTGCAATACACCTTTCATTCACAAATTTTCCCTCGCACACAACAAGTAAGTGTTGAAGATGTTTCCAACTCAAAAGTCGATGATGGTTCACCGTAATCATTAATCCAGGTAGTCAGTTTCTTCCAAAAAAATCAAAAGAAAAAGCCCGCTAAGTCAAAACCTACGAAAGAGACTTAGGCAAAACTGGGGCATCTCGCTGATTGTAAGTTTTAAAAGAAACAGTTCAGGCAAAAGTTAGGGATAATAGAAAGAAGAGATCTTTAAACCCTCACCCTGAAAATCCTCAATGACAAAACGATCAAATGTTATAGGGAAGTAGTGGTTGCCTTTTCATAGGTCCCTTGACTTTCGAACTATCCTCGCTACCATCGGTGCAATTCCCAACCAATAGGAACTTGAATGCATAATATGAGTTAACTGAGCGTAGGACTGAAGTTCATCACGTAGATTGGGTACAAATAAATTTTGAGCCTTTATCCTTTGTTTCATAAACCGTGAACCAATCCACGTTACAACCCTCAAAATACCTAATTGAAGCAGGGTTATTTTGAAAGCATATTACAACAAGGTTGCGTAAGCTGACTCCAAATAAATCTTTGCGAATAATTTATTTTGGCAGTACACCTTTATTTTAAACTTTGAGCGTCTTGAACCATTGTGTTCTGACCGACGACTCATTTATTTTTCATCTTTCAAAAATAATTTTGATTTCAAAAGTTACATGAACTTTGCATTACCATGTTTGTATGAATATTTTTGTTTTCAAACTGACTTTCTTCTAAGGAATTTTCAAACAATCGAGAAACTTGGTCAAGTGATCCTATCAGGGGCAAGTTCATTTTACATCTTGTCTAAGAATCAGTTCAAGATTTGTTCAAGGCAATGTATTCTTGTATTTGGTTTATCCAAAAGGTTTTTCAAGACTCGGACTGGGGCAAGCCTTCCGAGGGCACAGTAAAACAGTCGTTTTCACAAATCAGACAAGCTGAAGCATTATCATCTCATTTACAACAAACATCTAATCTGAGGCAGTTTACTTATGAGAATCTCCAGACAGCTCTTCATCCTTCCTATAGGGACTATCAACTTGATATAGTTTAGCAGAATGGCGGTGATGTATGTGTTGAGGAATTAGTCTTCCAGTCTTGTTATCTCATCAAAAGAGTCAAGCCTCATCGTTGACACCTGCATTTGCATTTGATCATATATCATAGCATAATTCATATACATATACATATCATGAGTGTTTCATCCTCATTTGCATT